TGCCATCTAACATTTGCGGGCGGAAACTAAGTTAAGGTCCTAATACTTACAATTGTTCTACTTAATTCTACTTATGTGTTACTCGCAAACTTAATTCTACTTATATTCTACCCTTCACCTATTATTTATCCTACTTAATTTTTATCAAATGTACCCTTCACCAATTGTTATTAACTGAACTTTGTAACTTATTTTAACCTAATCCTACTCTTAATTCTATCCTTCCTCTATTTTAGTGTGTCGCTTATTTTACTTTATATGCTATTTTTAGTTCCTCTAACTTTGTAAATTTAAAACGCCATAACTCCCCATCTACATACCGTCGGTATTTGTGTGTTATGTGCGCCGCGTGATATGGTACGTCTACTGCTCTACCTCCGGAAATTGGGATCCTGTATGTTGTCCCCGTGTTTGAGTTTTGCGGATTGCGGGTTTCTATGCGGATTCTGGTTGCTATTGGCCTATCCGAGACGATTTTTGGTTGTGTCCGTGTCTGGTCCGGTTTTCCCTGTTTGTTGCTGGTCCCTTTAGGTGGTGCCTGGGGTGTTGGTGGCGTGGCCGTCGTGTATGGCCTGATGTGTGGTCGTCGTTTCTTTGTTGGTAGCAGTTTATCAGTTTGTTGGTCTATTAGCGCTTGTAGCTTGTTTTGTGCTATTCTCGCTGTAGGTGGAGTTTTTCGGCATGCGATGGCCGGTTTTCTTTGCCTTTTGATATCCGGTCCATCTGATGGTGGTCGCTTCCCTGGCGGTAGGTTTTTGGTTGCCATTTGACCCCGTTTCCTCTGATCGTGTTCGGTGTTCTCCTTTGTGATCAGGGAGTCCCATAGAGCCTGGGCCTCTGTTTTGTTCCAGATTGTCAGCAAATTTTCTATCGTTCTGTCGATATCCATGACTGTCGATTGTTTTCCTGGTCTGTGACTTTGCCCCTTTTATATCGTTATCGTCTTGGTGCCCGTTTTGCGGTTTGTTTATATGTTTTCTTTGTGTGTTTGCCCTTATTGTGTCTGGCCAGAACCGACTCGGGTAATGCTCCCGTCGTTCGGGTAATGTTTCTTTTGACGGCTGCCAGTCTTCGAGCCATCTTTTCAACTCCTCGTTCAATTTCATCTTGTACGAGGGTGGTCTGAAAAGTTTCCGACCTAACAAAGATACAAGTCATTTTTTCTGAAAATTGTTTTTTATTTTTCAACATAGTCTCCTTGTAAATCTACACACTTCTCCCAGCGATGCTCCCATCTCTGTAACCCGTCGAAATAGTACTCGGCGTTTTTCTCTGCAAAATAATTGTTCACGAAGGTGATTGCCTCTTCATTTGACGAAAATCTCTGTCCTCCGAGCGCAATTTTTAGATGAGGGAACAAAAAGAAGTCGCTTGGGGCTAGATCTGGTGAGTAAGGTGGATGGTCAAGCAGTTCAAACCGTAATTCGTGG